AAGGTGAGCATCACAGAGTGCCGTGAAAAAAACCCACATTTTTTAATTGGCGCAGTGTGCGCGTGTGTTGTAAATGCATACGGAAAACGTATGGGGAGATTTTTATCAAAATGTGGGGAGTAGCTTATCTCTGAGGGGGGTGGACTTCTGAGTGGCTTTCTACCTTTTGTAAATTTTAAACTATGAACATGTATCACATGTATTTTATTTTACATAGCTGACCTTATTCATTTATTATCCTTCCTGCCTTCTATCCCCACTGGATTATTTAACATAAATCCTGGGTATATAATTCATTCATAAATACTAAAATACTTATCTCTAAAAGAGAAAACCTCCACTGGATTATTTTAAAATAGATACTAGATATCTCACATGTCCATAAATAATTGCAATTAAAAAATAATACCTAAAAAACCCCAATAATTTATCAACATCATATGCACAACATTATGTGCATATCAGTTTAAATAGCCTATTAAATGTCAATTAATATTCCAATTTCTCCAATTGTGTCATAAGTGCTGATTTGTTTGAAACTAGCTCTAAATAAGATTTACACTCACACCTGGTTGATATTTCTTGAGTCTTTTAAAATGTCTGACCTCCAGCTAGCTCTACCTTTTCATATGCCATCTGCTTATTCTAGAAAAGGGGTCCTGTATCTCACAGAATTTCCTGATTACAGACTTGTGGTATCTTTGAACCGGTTCCTCTACCCTCCTGATTTCCTGTAAACAGAGATTTTAGTTTGAGTTTGTCACCGGCTTTGGGTGATATTATTTAGGGCGTAGGAGCTATTTCCTCGGCTGCATTATTTTAAAATATAATTCAGGGGAGATTGCGATGCTGTCCCCCGCTACCACAAATTATGCAGTCGAGTTTCCCACATTTGGGGAAATCGCCGGGGTCAGCACCCCCGCAGGGCAATGGGTGAGCCTCGCCCTGGGACACCACCTTCGTGATCACGGTGTCTCCCCTGCCAGCTGCATTAGTTTTATGACCAGAACAAGAATGTGAAAAAAGGAAGCAGAGGAAGTAATCCTAGCCTTGCCAACGCCACCATTTCGGCAATTCACTGAAATTTGGTGCCTGAAAGTTGTTGTCCCCCGCCCCCTGGAATAGACTTAGGTCAATGATGTGTCGGGCAAGGAATATGCTCAGTGGCTATTTGTGGACTGATACATTTCCTGAATAATAATTCCCTTTTACATTCCAAACCTATTTCCCTTCTACTGCTCTTCTTCATAGGTGCCTGGGGGCATCGCACTGCAAGAGAGATACTCTTTCTGACGATAAACGAGACACCTTGCCTTTCCAATTCCCAGTATAATACACTACATGCTTTTCTAATTCAAAACGGCCCATACCAGTCCATCTCAGCTCACCAATACTAGGATATTGATCTCTACATATGCCATGTCATTTTTGACGATTTCCAGTTTTCCTAGAGTCACCCCTGGTACATTGAACATTCTGATGACCGTTTCTTCCATGTTCCGTTGATCCACACCATTAAGGTTGATCTACTTTGAACAGACAGCTCTTCCCCAAGTCGTATTTGGCAACCTCGGGGGCTCATCATCGGGCACTACGTCAGACAATGCCCCAGCGTGATCTATAAGGGACTCACTGACCAATCCCCCCCATCCCCCCAGAGTTAGATTGCCAGGTATCTTCTTCTTCAGTGTGCCTCATTTTCTGAAAGCTCTGCTGGACACTGTCCACCATAAGTGACCCTCCTGGTGTTTGAAATACCGGTGGCATAGTTTCGACTATCCCAGCAACATACAATCCACCACTGCACGAGTGTGACAAACTGATAGTAAAAGCTGACATTAACTACATGGTGAGGCTTTAAATGATGAGAAAGGTGTGGAAAAAACACAGCCATGACACACACGATGTGTCCATCACTCACTCAGCCTAAGGAAGAAATTCTATCTTCTCCTCCCACCACGATGCTGGGTCACTGTCTCTTCCTACAGGTGCCATTGCACACATAATGGAAGGAAATAACATAGCATCCATTTTGCATGCCTCTGAATTTTATGTCATTAGAATCCTGCTGTATGTGTTCGGCAGCTTGCTCTTTTTGCTTAACGTTAGGTTCTGAGATTCGTCCATGTTGATGTATGCAACCACAGCTCATTCATTTTAACAGCATGGCAATAGAGCTGTATTCAAGTTGTATTCTGCAGTGAGATTAAACCACAATTTAGATCGCAATTTTTGCACATAAAATCGTATTGCAAATACCTTGTCTTACTGCTACACAGGCCTCAAAATAATTTCTAATTGTAGTGGAATATTATGTTGGGAGGGCTCATATTTTACTTTATGGCTACCCAACTATTATCCATCGTGTGTGGCATGTGTTTACTTTATAGATAATGCGCCGGGGAGCATCTCTGTATAAATAGCTTATTAGATATTTTTGGATGATCTCTTTTGTAAGGGAGGACGGAAGGGGAGATGGTCCACACAAGTGGTGGTATTACTGGGATGAAATACATGTAGGAATGACATAGACCTTTACTGTACTGTAAAATTGCGTTATAATATTGTAATGCCAAAAGAAGTTGGGGGGCATCTCATTGAAAATGTATTTCGGAGGGGTGATTTAGGCAGGAGCTCTGGAGATGCAGTGGTTAAGTGCTCAATGGCTACCTGAAAGAAAGCTGGAATCCACGAGCAGGTTCTCCGGCAAGAGACTTGGTGATCTGCTCCTATAAAGATTACAGTCAAGGCCCCTGAAAGCTACTGGAATGTAAGCTGGTACTGTACTGGTGGTATTCTGCATATCTTCTATGACTGTTTCATTAGATCATCGTAGTTATCTAGTCACAGGATTTTTACCAAGTTTTACCAAGGATTTAGTGTTCCTCTTTTTCATTTGGTTGAGTGCTCCTCCTCCTCCTCCTCTTCATCATCATCATCAAAAAGCAAAATCACTGCCATTGAATCAATTCTGACTCAGCCACCCGATAGGACAGGGTAGAACTGCCCCTGTGGGTTTCGGAGACTGTACCTACTCTTCACAGTTGAGGGTATCTTTCGTCTGTCTCCGTGGAGAAGCTGGTGGTCTCGAACAGCTGACCGTGGGGTTGGCAGCCCAATGTAGACCCACGACACCACCAGGGCCCTGCTGCGCATCACAGAGATCACAATCCTGCTCTGAGTCTGCTGCTTCCCCGTTGTTTGTTTTCCCACATGAAGAAATCTTTGATTCTCCTGTCGCCTAATTGACTATTCTTTCCAAATGTGTTCCTTTTGTTTCTACGCAGCAGTCAATCCTATTGATTTCCTGCGCCTCACATCTTGCGCTTAATTGTTCAACCCAGCTGTAATTCATTTCGGTGAAGCCCAAATCATTTTTTCTCCCAAAATGCTCAAATAGGCATCAACAATACTTATTGAATAAATTTTTTCCCCAACTGATTCGTGTTCTTTGTTGTTGTTGTTGTTATTTTTTAAATTGTTATGTGAGTGAAATTTACAAATTGGTTTTATATTCAACAATGTATACACCTTTTGTTTCAGGACATTAATTACAATCTCTACAAATGCAAGAGAACCCCCTCCCACACACACACACCCCAGCCTCCATTTACTGTTCCTCCCACCTTCTTTCTGAGTGGTATCCGGGAGCAAATGCTGAGCGTCTGATCCCACTGGTTGATGTTTCGGTCTACAGGGCTGTTGTTCACCTGAGAATTCTGTTCACTGCTTGGCTGGAGGCTGGGTCATGGAGATAAATTCAATTCTAGGCTTGAATGGTGACTAACGACCATACTTTGGGGGTCCCACCAGGCTCTACCAGGCCAGGCATCTTGTTTTATATTGCTGTGGAGATTGGTTCTACATTTTCCCGCCGCTCTACCCAAGACCTTCTACAGTGATGCCGTTCAGAGGGTCTGCCATCGCTAGGTACCACTGAATTCTTGGTCTGCACTCATCTTTGCTCCAGTTTGCGAGAGACCCGCAGCCGCACCTTGACTAGCTATTCGCAAGCTTTTAAGACCCCAGTCACCACGCAGCAGAGTGCGATGCAGAACATTATCTTTGCCAACTGTGTTCTTTAATTATCTAATGCCCCCCAGGGCTGAGCCCCCCAGAACCAGTGACCCATTCCCTCAACGTGCTTCATTCCAGTGAAAACAGCTTTGTAACTTTGCCCCCCATTTGCTCGACGACATGGATATCGTGACAGCACACACACAGATGTGGAAGCTTCAAAAAGCCCACGGGAAATCCCATTATCTTTTTATTCCACATTTCCATGAACTTCTTGAAGGACCCCTGGACATATATAGATCTACTGTCTGTCAGTCCTACATATGACTGTAGATATAGTTCCACTGGCCTAACTATACCTGCTCATCCTACCTGTCTGCCTATTTAAGAGATGACTTTAAAATCATGTATTCCATCATTTACACGAGGGCCTACTTCGGGGCTACACTTGTTCAGTGATCGACTTCCTCCTCCTACGCCGGCCCCACAGCTTCACTGACAAAGGCTTTAGAATACATTTCAGAAACTGGTTGTGCTAGATATTGTCATTTCCAATAGATCTGACTCCCTTCCCCCGACCCCAACAAAAAACAATGTCAGCATTCCCCTTGACACTCTTTTTAAAAAAAATCATATTATTAGGGGCTCATACAACTCTTATCACAATCCATAAATACATCAATTGTGTAAAGCGCATTTGTACATTCATTGCCCTCATCATTCTCAAAACATTTCCTCTCCACTTAAACCCCCGGCATTAGGTCCTCATTTTTCTCCTCCCTCCCCGCTCCCCACTCCCTCATGAGCCCTTGATAATTTATAAATTGGTATTTTGTCATATCTTGCCCTGTCCGACATCTCCCTTCACCCACTTTTCTGTTGTCCGTCCCCCAGGGAGGAGGTCACATATAGTTCCTTGTAATAGGTTCCCTCTTTACAACCCACTCTCCCTCTACCCTCCCAGTATCGCCACTCACCCCTTGGCACTCTTAGCTACGTATTTTTCCAAATACAAAGGGGCTTCACAAAGTTTGCGGGAAAATTCCGTCAAATTTCAATGCCATTTTCCCTTGAATTTTTTGAGACCCCACCCCCCACCCCTTTGGTAGACATGCAATCATCTTGTGGAATTTTAAACATCCTCACGGGATTGCCAAAGGCCTATGAGCTACCTGCAGAGAATCCCGATTCTTATTTTTACTCTCATCACCCAGAACCAGGGTTTTCAGCTCATCTCTTTACATGTTCCTGGTCTACCATGAAGCACTCTATCTGCACAGAGTGGAACTGTTGGATGGCTTTCTGCACTGGTTAATGTTTAAGGAAAAAATGCTTAATACTACTTGTCTTGTTTTGACCTAGAGGGTAACCAATGATGCCTTAGGGTCTTGTCAATAAATAAATAGGCTGATGGGCTGGAAGAATACAATCTTCCTTAGACTACCAATGAGTTTGTGGTTTCAGGTATTCCCTGTTAAAGGTTTTGTAAAACTTAGTTGAATTTATTTTAAATGAACTTTGTCATTGTTGAGGTTATTACATATTTCTACTTAACCAACTTACAATACGAAGCGGGTACCCCCAAAAAACCTGGAATTGCGCTGGCGGAGAGGAGCTTTCGTAATGCGCATTTTTCCCGCTAGGTGTGCATCAAGCAACTCACTCTGAGTTAGTGCACTCAGTGGGGTCACCTGGGAAGGTTCTCTCTGGCTACAGTGAATTTTTTCATAAAAGCAGTTTCGCTTGAGCCTCATTTTTTTGTGAAGGCCAATTTAAGAGAACAAGGTATGGCTGTGAAATTTTGCTTCCTGCTCATGAAAAATGCCTCAAAACTTGTAATGCTGAAGACAGCTTACGTAGATACCACTGTGGGAAAAACTCAAATGGACAAGTGGTTTTCTCATTTCAAAACAGGTGAAATGTCGATTGATGACAAACCTCGTTCTGGATGTCAATCAACTTCCCAAACAAATGAAA